CCTCACAACCCCTCTATGCATAATCGAATCAGTAGCCATAAGGAAGAGTGTTAAAATCAGTTAAAAGTCTGCGCTTATTATATACCACTTTGAACCTTTTGTCAACTGACTTGTTGTGCAATGTGAGATGCTTTTAATCCCTCACAATGTTTTCAGCACGAGCCAGGATGTATTGTGTATCGTCGTGAGATGTCACATAGCCATTAACCAGACCAATCAGTGAATCTAAGCAGATAGCTTGGGAATTTCTAGCGTTCAGCATTATACCCTTAGCCTTCATGCACACTTTTCCCTTGGCAGTACAATAGCCATAAGATTTCGGGCCACTAGAACAGAACTCTGTGATGTAATCGTCGCCCCCTATTTCGTCCGTCAGATCCCCCAAATGATCCCCAAGAGGATGTGTCCAGTCGCCATCCCTAGACACAAAAATGATGCTGTCGGTGTCCGAGTATAATACTCGGTCGCCGAGTTTGTCCATCAGGTCGTACAGCTCCAGTCGAGCATGAGCTGTCGTAAAGGTGCCTATAAACACATTAATGTCACGTGTCTGACGAACAATCCCTTTGGGGAGACGATGTTGGACAAGTGCAACGTCGTCTGAGACGAATGTGAAGTATTTCAGGCTATCGGTTTTACCAAAAACGATACTGGTGAATTCTTCAGGGTCTTTCACAGGGATGGTTTGTGCTAAATCCTCTCTCATAGAGAAACTCCCCCATAAACTATTGAGCAATAGCTTGTTTATAGACCTCTGAGCGGGGTTGAGACTGATCTTATCGGGGTCGAGACAAATTTCCTCTTTTTCATAATATTCGCGGATGTAAGAAGCTTTGTCGGCATCCGTGATCACGTTTGATGGATAGCCGGACGCTTGCTGTTTCAAACGCAGAAACTTTTTTACGTAATTGCAAAACAGCGTATCCGTCCTTTGCGGGAAATGCCAAACTTCATCAACCTATCCTCGACGTATCCCTTCTTGATCGCTTTTAAAAGTTCGATACTGACCCAACACCCCGAGAGAGCTCTCTCCTCATCCGTGTGGCTACCTCATCCGTGTAGTTACAGCTCGACGTCTGGTTTTCGGTGTGAGCGCAGGTTCGGCATAAAGAGAACATGAGTTTTCCTCGGCATCTGTAAGGCAGGGCGGGGTGGAGTAATTTGCGCGGGGGGTACACGGTTGCCTTGATAAGTCCGTAATAATTTTCAATAGGTTCGAAATCATTAAAAATGATTTGGGGGTGTCCGATCGGATAGCTTTTCCTAGCTTGGCAGAAGGGGTATAAGCTGGTAAAATCTACGTAACTTATTTTCTCCCCTTGGGTCGTTTTGTGATAGAGTTTATAAGCATTAGTCCTCCCGCCAAAAAGGGCTTCTCGAGGCTTCGGTCTCTCAGGATCCGCATAAGTACTCATAAACTCCATCACCGAGGGGTCAGTCTGTTTCATTTTGTTCCATTCACACTCCCACAGGGACTCTATTTTCAAGCCGTACGAGTTTTGCAGAATCTCTACCTTGTTGTCAAACCGTCAAACATTCGTGCCCATGGAATAAACATCCATTGAATTGTAGCCCGTACCTCGCCCCGTCCTGTTCGTAGTAGCTGTCTAAAAAGTAACGGCCGATCGGCACTTCGCTGTGATTTAATGCATGGTGAATGCCGACATTTCGGGACTTTTTCACATATTCGAGCCATTCGATCGACGTGTTAGAGTAAGTCTTGCTGTGTTGGACGTACATGTTATTATGCGTCAGAGCCAGCGTGTCTCTGTTGAAGTAATGTGTTTTGAAGACCCCCATACAACAGCTCGCGAGTGTGGTAAAGTTGAACGGATCGAGTTCAGTAGAGTCTATGAACGCTTCTCGGTATTTCATGCATGCTTCACGTAATAAGATGACGTCGTTCACGCCGTATGCGTACAACTCCTTGCTGAAACGAAATAATTTACCCGAGACAGTGCTATACCACTCGTCGAACTTTGCCTGGTCTTTATCTGACATGTTTTCATACCCGTAAAACTTTTTGTCAGGGTAGGGACCCACATAGTTCTCATTTTCCCTCCTATTGAAATGATGGGGGAAGTTGCCTTTCTCCATCGTGGTCAGGTTTAGAGCGGCGGGCATCGTAGAAAGAGCCATCGGGATGAAACTGTAACTGTTTATGTATCGCTGAGCAAAAGCTTCGTCGTACATACATGTTTTCATACCCGTAAAACTTTTTGTCAGGGTAGGGACCCACATAGTTCTCATTTTCCCTCCTATTGAAATGATGGGGGAAGTTGCCTTTCTCCATCGTGGTCAGGTTTAGAGCGGCAGGCATCTTAGAAAGAGCCATCGGGATTAAACTGTAACTGTTTATGTATCGCTGAGCAAAAGCTTCGTCGTACATAAAGATTAATTTATATCCTTGCATGATGATGTCGAGAGTAAGACCCACTTTGCAAAAATACTCGACAATTAGAAAAGAGTCGAATCTGGATGCGTAAAGGGCTATGAAACAGAAGCCTTTGTATCGGGGGTGTCTGAACTGGTTAATCAACTGTTCCACGCAGTTGACGCCTTCGAACACAAATCGTTCGCCGTCAAATGTGATTGCGCAAACGAAATTAGCGATGTGTCTTCCATTTTCATAACAAGTTTCGAAGTCATAAAAAATATACTTCTTGCTAGGTTCCTTGGGCTGTTGGGGCTGTATGTAGCAGAAATGTAGCCCTCGGTCGTGCAGCTCTTCCCCGCAATTGCTGCATCGGAAGGGCGAACATTTGTGACTATCGACGGGTCCTATAATGTTGTACCGTCTGTTACATAGTTTGCCATATTTTATAACGTCGCAAGGGGGATTCTCTTTGCCGGCCGGAGTCTTCTTGTGCATGTCGTAGCAGTGCTTCGAATTACAAAAGCGTAGACATTCGGGGCAGTGAACGATTCTTTTAGGGTATTTGTAACAATCTCGGTCGAAACAAATGTTACAGACATGTTTGCAATGGTGATCTTGAATTTTTGAGTATCCTTTATAGCAGAATTTACACACATAGTCAGCGCCTATGAAAGCCGTCAGATTCAGAATCATGTAGTAATGCTCGTTGTGTAAATAAAGACACATGGTTTTAGGATGAATTTCTGCATTATTTTTGAATGTTTCTAACACTCCTGCACTCGTCCTGTAAAATACAACAATTTTGATGTCTAGCATATTTTCAAACTTCGCTATATCATGAAGACCGATCTTGTCTTGGATCGAAAATCCTGCGTTGTTGTGAATGTTGTCGCACGACTTTCTAATTCGCTCTCGGGTAATTGTGGTTCGAGAAAACGTGCGAGGCAGATAGAATGGCACAATTTATCACCCCTATTTACAGGGGAGAATAAACTCATCTTTTTTCTTTTAATCACCTGTTGTAGAGGTATGTCTGTGAGTTTACGCCTCCAACCCCCTCCATGTCTGTTCATGGCCACGTCGACTTCGATCTCGACTGCGTCGTCGGACAATAACTGATCGTTGCTCTGTAAAAAATTTTCAATTTGTTCTGTAAAAAGACTAACGTCTTAATTATTACCAGGTGTTAACGGGTGATTTCAAGCTTTCACCATTTATCGCTAAATTAATCACACTAGAGTCCCCACCGATAGTTCTAGCAAACGATGCTATCTCTTCAATTTTCTTGTGTATTAATACGTGATATGATAATAAATCCGTAGACCTTATTTAACGCATATTCATAGTCCTTCGCAATTCCACACTGTTAAATCGGGGCCTAGGAGTTACATGATAACCGTTTACGACCCCGCCGTGTCATATCAACGAGTCAGTGTTCACACGACTTGGTTCGGTCATGCCTGAAGGACAAGTATCGTGGTTATTACCCGTAGAGCTAGTTGACGGGTGTACTGCGTCGGAAGGGGGGACAGTGCGGGGAGTCGTCGGTCGCTCAGAGTCGTTATTACCGGAAAAAACCTTGCCGATGTTACCTGTACGGGGATCTGACGAATGCATAGTGTTGTCGGACGGGGCGGCGGTACAGTCAGACACGGTTAACGTACCTCCGGTCTGTGTGACGTTTTGGCTTAATGCGGTCTGCAACAGATTGCATAAATCGACGTTTAGACTTTGCGCTATTTCCGTTTCTAATCGTTGCAAATCATTAACATTTTGGAATAATTAGTAAATCTAAATTGGAATCTAGAAAATAATAAAGGGAAATTAGCTAATGATATTATTGCTAGATAAATCAGAACTAACTAATTAGTTTATGTAAAACATATCAATAGTGAAATTGAAGAATTATTTAAAGCAGATTATTGCTAGATAAATCAGAACAAAAATTGCAATAGCAAGAATGAGCCACCAGATGTCGACAAAGTATCTTTACCAGCTAAAGCATGTGACCTAATGAGATTATTGCTAGATAAATCAGAACAAAAATTGCAATAGCAAGAATGAGCCACCAGATGTCGACAAAGTATCTTTACCAGCTAAAGCATGTGACCTAATGAGATTATTGCTAGATAAATCAGAACAAAAATTGCAATAGCAAGAATGAGCCACCAGATGTCGACAAAGTATCTTTACCAGCTAAAGCATGTGACCTAATGAGATTATTGCTAGATAAATCAGAACAAAAATTGCAATAGCAAGAATGAGCCACCAGATGTCGACAAAGTATCTTTACAAGCTAAAGCATGTGCCCTAATGAGATTATTGCTACACTGTAAAATCCAATAGTTTACCTTACTTAGATATAATTAGTTATCTTTACTTAGTTGTTATACTTACTCGGTTTTATTAAGTAACAGCTAATTTTAAGGCGAATAAAACAACTTGCTGCAATGAGTAACTCTTACTTAAAATATTCAAGTAGCCACAACAAAACCGATGACATTAATACACCAGTGGGAGGCAGCAGTGCGCTAATGTATTGCTAATGTGCAACAAAACAACAGAAGAAGAAATATGGAAGGTTAGAGCATGCGCAACAAGCAACATTTTTTTGAATTTGTGTGCCGAATTTGCTGAGACTGCTTGCATTTTTACCACTGGACAAAGACTGATTACTTCTATACAATAATAATAAGGTAAGATTAAAAAAATAATTGTGTCAATGTATCTTTCTGTGTGCTGCTAACTTTAACTGACTAACGTTGTCAGCGGTGTTAGCTAACAGAAACCAAAGATCTTTGCTATTCTGCTGTTAGAAAAAAGACTGTAGAAATACAGAACTTGTGGCGTATTTTGGCGAATTTAAGACTTTTTTTACTTTTCAAACTGAAAAATTTGTAACTGTTAGCTAGTTCAAAAATTAAAGGTCAGAGGTACAGTTCAAGAACATGCCAAAAGTCGTCAAGATGAGCTCACAATAGGTTTTAAAGTCAATCTTTATGTGCCACTGATAATTAATTGTTTACTGTAATCTTTTGCAGTGTTAACAATATAATTTTTATAACACTGATGCTTTGATAACTTAAGTTATTTTTAAGTTAACAATTTTATTGTCAATATTTTTAATACATCACAATCATAGTCATTACGTGATCACACATTTAAGGTTTAAACTGAATGAGCTCTTTGTCTTGCAGTAATTATTGCTTTGCTGTGTTGAAACACCTACTACTGTAATACAGAGGAAATGCTGCTTTTCAATTGCTTTTATGACTGAGGCCTCAAGTAGATATGTATAGAAGTTTTCTTTCTTTCTTGTAAAGTATGCAAATATCAAGGAATGAATGTGTCTGTAATCTACAATTCACAACAATAGTGGAACTTGCCTTTAACTGAAGAATTATTTGTCATATTTAGGACAAGTGCTTGTGGCAGCTGTCTTCTCTGAACAGCAGTCTCGTGAACACCGGCCTCAGTACACTGAAGGTAAGGTATTTCATGTTTAATCTCTTATACAGCAGTAGAGCAGTTTTTGACTCAATCATATGCTACACTTTATTTACAATTTCAAATAATTTCTTGTGGATGAAGTATACATGTAACCACTGTATTTCTTTTATTTTTTTCACAGATCTAAGAAAACACTTCACACCCTACAACCCCTACAAATGTATGTTGCTACCTGAAATGTTTTCAATATTTGTTTTATTATATTTAATAATAATATTTAAAATAAACCATGTCATTGACTTCTTTATTGACACTTTGACAAACATATTTGTACTGTAATTTTTGAATGTCTTAAACTTGTTTTTCTTTTTTTACTTCTAGAACCCAGATTTGACAGCAGTGCACACCCATCTGAGGCCGACCTGTTTTACTTCATGATCACCCCAGATACTTCTACAACTAACCCGCTTTGTAAGTTCTCATAGCTACACCTTAAAGAAGCACATCATTTTGGGGAAATGTCCTGTGTATTTGCTGGTAAATTACTGAGATACTTTTATAAAGATTAATGTTGATTATATACCTAGTTCAACAAAAAATGAAAATGATGCCACTTAATCTCCGTCCTGTCATTCCATCCCATAAACAATTGTGCATCTTCAAGACATGAATGACGATATTAACCCCAAAACTTTGACACCCAAGAAACCATAAAATAAATCCATATGAATGGAGCCGTGTAATCTACTTTTGGGCCAAACTGTTCAATGAATGGTAAGGAGCAGTTTCAGTTATATTTCCACTTGAACTTGGTTAGGCATAGTCTGATCACAAACCATTCTTGATCTGGAATTATTAGCCGAACACGCTGAACCGTGCTGTAGAATGCCTGCAGTGACGTCACTGCTCAGGATTGTCATTTGTCTTTTGCTTAGCCAATAGTTTCTCTGTAGCTGGCCAAGCCTGCTATTTGAGCGAAGTAAACAAGTTAATAGTAAAATTAAAATAAATATTTAATCTGTTTGGCCTGACGGTGGAAAAGCAGCTCTGATTGCTATATGATCACCTGTCTAATGTTTTGGGAAAATAGACAGAAATTTATATCGGATTTCACTGAAAATGTCTTTATTTATGTTCCAAAAATAAACAAAAGTCATGTTTGAGTAAATGATCACATAAATTTCAAGTTTAGGTGAACTAACCCAATGACATGGTAGTGTAGGCTGGACAGATAACACTGACAACTTATCATCCATATTTCCCTACTAATATTGTTTTTATTTGGTTTTATACAGGTGCCTGATGTTGATGCAGTCTGGGCACTAGTATCGGTTGGGTTGCTGACTATCATTCAGTGGAGATGAAGTACTTCTCCAAATCTTCTCTGCCTTGACCCTGTGTCTTTTTGCCATCATTGTTCAGGGTAGTACTGCAAAGAACAGTCTCCAGGGTCTACCTCAGCCATTTGCTTCCGGACTGCCATGTGCTATGTTTGGATCACTGGTACAGTACATTTGGATTACCCTAATACTGTGAAGAACACTTACAGTGTGATGCTTGACTTGAGACAGGACAGGGAAAAAAAAAAAAACATTGGCAACATGTGCGGCCAACCCAGTGCCATACTTACTCATTGTACTGCTATCTCCACTGTTTAAAAGAAGCATACCCTAAATCAGATTGTTTTTGCTTTGTTTCAAAATGTTTGTAATACAAGTTAAAACTGCACTGAAAAACCAAAAAAAAACAAAAACATTATCTTTAACTTTGAACTGTCACTACCTTAAATGTATGTGTAATTGTATGTGTGTGATGAATGGAACATTGTTGTCAGTAATTTGTAATGGATGTTTGAAGCACTTAAGTTAGTGGAGTAACGCTTACTTGGTTTTTTTAAGGCAATCGGTTTGCATGCTTTTAGCAAGTAAATCAGATTGCTGTTTAAGTAAATACAACTTAGAAATTCCAAGTTGCAGGAAATGTTACATGAGTTGGCTCAACTTAAATAAAAGAGTTGTTTGAAATAAGCACATAGTATATTGTACGTATTCATTTAGTTGTTGAAAATAGTGATTCTGAGTTACCAGAACTTGCGTGTAAGTTTACAACACTAAATGAACCTTTGTTATTACAAATTACTATTCTTATTTCACTTTACTTGTTTTTTTCAAGGCAATCGGTTGGCATGTTTTTTTTAAGTAAGATTTACTAATTGGAATTTACAGTGTAGATAAATCAGAACAAAAATTGCAATAGCAAGAATGATCCATCAGATGTCGACAAAGCATCTTTACCAGCTAAAGCATGTGACCTAATGAGATTATTGCTAGATAAATCAGAACAAAAATTGCAATAGCATGAATGATCCACCAGATGTCGACAAAGTATCTTTACCAGCTAAAGCATGTGACCTAATGACATTATTGCTAGATAAATCAGAACAAAAATTGCGATAGCAATGCATGTGGTCCCAACGCTATAAAAATATTACAAATAAAAAGCTTACTATTGTGTGATTCTTCTCTCGGAGCTGGAATCACCTGAGCTATAGCTCTTTTCTTCCTCAAGGGACTTTGTGCAGGATTTCGGGTATTGTTAGCGCTGCTTGGACCAGCTCTGACATCTCTTTCCCAGTCTTTGTTAGACACACTCGGGCCGGCCTGTTCATCACTTTTATTGCATTCTTGTGTTAAATCAATAAAATTGGGCTGTGTTATTAACTGGATCAGATCTAGAAAAAATAAAGATAAAATAATTTCTGTTGTAATTATTAAAATCCTCAGTATCCACAGAGTAGTAGTTTAATTGTAAAAGTATAAAACATTTACACCACCATCTTGGGAGTCCTGTTCGTAGATATACGCACATCTGCTCGAAATAAAGACAAAATCATTTTCTGTTGTAATGAATTAAATCAGAGAAATATAGACCCATGACTAATGAAAAATATTTGCTCCTGTCTCTGTACCATTTGTGAAAACACGTTCATGTGTTTTTCGTGGTTTTTGAACTCTGTACCATATGTGAAAACAATGTTTATGCGTAGTTCGTGAAAAACTTAGGAATGCCCTCATTACAGCCGTGACAGAAGTCAATATTTTTCATCGTCACGCTAGATTAACGACGCATTTACATAACCAACTTAAAAGTAGATATCTTGCTGAGTAGCAAAAGGGCTGGTTCTTGGGGTTCATCTGTATAAACATCTAAAAAAAATATAGGATAGTTTTTTTGTTTTTCAAACAGTTCTGTTTACAGCGTCACGCCTCGCCTTTCAGAGCTCGCAGCGGGGCGAAATGACAGGATCAGCGGGAGCTAGCCACACACACACACACACACACACACACACACACACACACACACAGACAGACAGAGCCGTGATCACACAGGCAGAGGGGCAGAGACGATCTCAAAGAAAGATTTCTTCTTTCATTTTAAACCAAGCACAATTTTGGGAAAGATTTCATTTGTAGAATCGCGATGCTTGCACGAGGAAGACTTTCTCTCCCTGAAAAATGTAAGGCAATTTATATTTTTTATTACATTATTTTCAATTCATTCATATGATGAGAAACTTTTTTATTCAGTATTATATTGTACGAGTACACACTCATATTGTGATACGATCTCGCAATCTGTTAAAATTGTTTATTTATTGTTCATCAATGCTTGTTTTTAATCGCAGCTCCCATAGAAAGAGTGAGAGAGAGAGAGAGAGTGCGAGCATGACACACAGCAACCTGATACCACGGGGGCACGTCCGCACTTTTCTCCCATAGAGAGAGAGTGAGAGAGAGAGGGGGGGCGAGTGAGAGAGAGCGCGAGCATGACACACAGCAAGCTGATACCACGGGGCACGTAAGACACAGATGAGTCCGGATATGGGAACGGACCATAATATCTTCAAAAACAATACTTAATTTATCACCTGTCATCCTTGGGCTCTTTCATACAGTTGTACAAACATCATTTGTCATCCCCGGAGATCAAAGGTTGACGGCCGGATTTCACGCACGCCGGTTTTCGCATATGGAAATTATTATGATGTCAAAGGTCAAAGTCATCAATCAAATTTTGTCATAAGCTCCCGGTTATTGACTACTTGTAGAGCTGTTTTATGTTGTTCAAGAGAATAATTAGCAGGTTTTGAACTGAAGTTCATGTTTCTGGAAGAGACTCAGTGCTGATGCTGTGCCACACAGAAGTCACACAGTAATAGTCTCCTACTATTATCTCTGTATACATGTCAGTTTTGATTTGTATTAACATTGACAGTTACCTGTTGGGTTGTTTTGTTGTTCAGGATATTTCTCAGCTGAAACAGCAGTGCTACTCGACGGATGAGCTCTGCTGCTCTCTGTCTCCACTGGTGAGTCTGCACACATGATATTCGCTTTCTGCATCTTTGTTTCTACAGACTGCGTTTGTACTGTGTATTTGAATACCGTGCCTACAGACTGTGAGTTTGTTAACACTTTCTGTCAAGTTCAATCTCAAGGAACTACAGGAGCTTCAACTGATACTCGCTGGACTGAACTCATTTAGTGGTATTATATGTTCTGTGCTAATCCAGTCTGTGACGTCACGTCATAAATAGAGCCAAGTAGGGCGCACTGCAGCCCAAGAGTGTCTGTCTGCGGACTGCAAGAGAGGGGCGTAACTGGAAGGGGGCGTAACTTGAAGTTGTCCAAATCACACAGAACCACGCGAGATGTCAAAATGAGATGTTGTTGGCAAGATGGAGACAACTGATTGTATAGAGACAACGGTGAGAATTTTTTTTTTTGTCCCGAAATAACCATTCAAATTGAAGTGTGTAAGTTATTTTCATACAGTGGTATTGTTTATGGAGTTAATAATCTATTAAAACTAAGGTGTAAAGTAAGCAATATATAAGCAAAAGGTGTAAAGACGCTATCCCCCAGTTTCACAGACAAGGCTGGTCAAGACTAGTCCCAGACTAAAATGCATGTCTGGGCTGTTTTAACTGAAAGCAACTTGAACTGACTGATCTTAAAATATATATTTTTTTGTCTCAAGATGCACATCAGTAGTGTTTTAATCCAAGGCACGTTTATAAAAGCTACTTAAATATCCTAATTGAATTATGGCCTAATCCCGGCTTAATCTTCTGGATGTTACAGGAACAGATGAGACACACGTGTGTTTATCCAGTGCAGAGAGACTGATGAAGGAATACTATATAAACATATTTTAAATCTTAAGTTGTAGTTTATAACAACTATTACAGCACTTTTCTGATTCTTGTTTCCTGTGCATTTGCTGCAGAGCTTTTGTGGTGGAGCAGGACCTGCAAGGCAAGGTGACGGTGGCATTTGTGAAAAAAAGGGAAAACCTGAAACAAAAATATAAATAAGATCATTTTGTTACTTCCAATACAGAAATCAGATGACATTATGCTGTTAAAATGACTACTTTTGTGCTGTATTTATTCTGCTTGATGGGACAGACAGTAAAGACAGGCTGAGTTGAAAAGTGGCATTTCAGGGCCGCTCACGCACAAATGCATAAGCTCATTTTTTATCCACGAGCAAAAAATACGAAAAATCTAGCTTAATTTTCGTTTTTTCGTTCTTCAGACAGAACGAAATAATAAAAGTGATGATGATGATGATGATGATGATAATAATAATAATAATAAAATCGAACTGTTTGTCATTTCTCTTTATTTCTTTTTGTTCGTATTTACATTTGTTGTTAAATCAAACTTGAGTCACTCAAATAAAGAAATATTACAATCCCAGATTCGGTATTATTCAAAAATAACTTGTTTGATCTGATCATCTAAAACAAGTCATATCCTCTGGGTCTGAGTGCAGTTATTGGATAGCATATTGCAGATTAATCCTATGACGCTTCAGTAAAATCTAATAAAATACCTTCAAAAAAAAGTCAAATGGAATTACTGAAATGTTTGAGGCTTACTTGCTCCGTCCGACATGATGACTAAAATGTTTCCACAAAATATTGAGCTGCAAAAACTGTTTTTAACATTGATAATAATGAGAACCATTATTAATAACTGATCACCAATAATAATTGAGCAGCAAATCAGCATGTGATACTATTTAACAATATGAATGTATTTACTGTATTTAATACTCATTTAACTATACTTTGTTTTGTCAGAAGCTGAGACATTACCTTCTAGAAAGGCTTTTACATAAATTACAACTGGGATTAAGCACAACACCACTAAATTTGGATTACCTGGAGTTTTGTTGTCGTCAGGAGCTGTATCTTCTGCAGGCCCTATCTAATCATGTACCCAATCAAATCAAGTACCCCCTGCTATCACCCAGGCTTTGCAAGAGCTTTTTGACCTTGTGAAGGGACAACTGGAACTTCCAGGTCCTTCTGTCACAGTAGAAGCTGCTGGCACCACAGGACGACCCAAAATGTTGATTGAAGAACAGCGCTTAAAAGAAATGCTCCACACTCAACTTCCTGTGCCTTGCATAGCTACACTGATGGGTGTTTCGAGAAGCACAGTCTTCAGACGAAAGAAAGAGTATGATCTCTCTGTTAGGAGCATGTACAGTACCATCAATGATGATGAACTTGACAGTTTGGTTGCTTCCATCAAGAATGATTTACCAAACGCAGGCTACTGGATGGTCAGAGGGAGACTGGAGTCAATGGGCCGCAGGGTTCAGTGGAGAAGAGTTGCAGCCTCCATGCATAGGGTTGATTCCTTGGGTGTCATCTCAAGGCTGTCAGGTCTTGGCTGTGTTGTACGCAGAGTGTACTCTGTACCAGGGCCCTTGTCTCTGGTACATGTAGACACAAACCACAAGTTAATCAGGTTTGTGATAATTTAGTGGCTTCCTTTTGCTTGGTCAGGGAGTGCATTTGAAAAGTAGCCAATTGAGACATTTTCAGAAATGCCAACAGCAATACTATAGAAGCCCCCCTGACTCACAACTGGTTTAAGAAAATACTTTTAAGAGACAAGAAAAGGATCCCACTGTGTTTGCAGTGTCTCTCGTTTTAACAGATATTCAGGACATATCAGTAATAGTTTAAATAAACAATAATTGCATGTCCATATTAATTTTTTTCAAATATAAAAGATAAAAATTATTAAAGCATTGGAAAAAAGTAAAAATATAAAAAGGGTCTCCCTTTGTAATGCCCTTGAATGCATATGCACATTGATTTAATTTGATATAAAAATAACATTTTACTTTTACTTCCTAGATACAACATTGTGATATTTGGAGGAGTGGATGGTTTCTCCAGAAAGGTAACTAGCTGCTGCTGTACACCTATGCCTTTGGTAAAAAGAAAAAAAAATGTATAGTATGTAAACAAATCTACAGTAGATGCTTTTATTAATCATCAATCAAAATCCTCAAATAAATTTTTTGTCTTACTGTTCCGTGATTTAATATTTCATTTGTGTTGTATAATAGTGTCGTTACTTCAGTGCCACCCAAGTAATTTGCTGAACACTCATGCTTCCTGAGAAAATCCCTGTCAGACTTAACTTTAATGTCTTTTAATTTGTTTATATTTTACTTAATGTTGTAGATATTGTACCTGAATGCAGCCACAAATAACCGTGCTTCAACGGCATTTCACTTTTTCCTGGAGGCAATTCAGCAGCATGGTTTACCCTCAAGGTAGTGTATTTGAGATTGTTACAAAGCTGCTGTGCCCTCTTTGTAGGCACATAGACTGGGAAAAATTCAAAATGTTCTTTACCATATTAAATAAAAAAAATTGATAAATCTGAGCTTTTACTTGAGCTCAGTTTCCTCAAATCAAAATGTTATCAAGAAATAATCATCATCCAGACGGCGCATCATTTCATCATCCTTGCTTGTTGAATTGTCTTTAAAAGTTAAAGGCCAATATATATATATATAAAAATAAATTTCTGTTAATTTAACCATCATAACTATTATGATTTCAGGGTAAGAGCTGACCAAGGAGTGGAGAACGTGGACATCGCCAGGTTTATGTTTACTGTCCGTGGCAATGATCGGGGAAGCTTGATCTCTGGAAAAAGCGTGCACAACCAAAGGTACAATTCATATGTCTTTGTTGTTTGAGTAACAACAACAACAAAAAATACACTGCAAAAAAAATATTTTCTTACTTAGTATTTTAGTTTTTTGTCTGTCATTCTTGAATCAAGATGCATTTACTTGACAAGTAAAATGACTTAAGATATTAAGTCTTATTTTCTGAGACATTTATCAGAATTTTGTTAGTTTTTGCTTAAAACAAGAGAAAATATTGTCCATTAAAATAAGAACCATTGTTCTTGGTATGTATATGTACTTGGTATTTATAATAATTCTTTAAACCCACAATGCACTGTGATCCAGAAACTGTAAAGTTTTACATTGATATTCCGTTTGAACTTCAATTAGTAACATCGCCATAAACTTTTTTTTTTACATATAGATGGTGCTAGTAGTTTCATTACAAGGTGTGATATTACAGAACACAATTACATCACTTAATAGTGGTGTAATGTTGTGTTCCCGAGACAGTAATAGAGATGATTTATTTTGTTTTAAACCTTCATAGGATAGAACGTTTATGGAGAGATGTGTGGATCTCAGTCTCATCAAAGTACTACAACCTTCTACACTCTCTTGAAGAGAATGAGCTTCTGGACATTTCATGTGCAGATGACATATTCTGTGTGCATTATGCAATTCTTCCACGACTCAAGAGAGACTTGGAGATATTCACTGAAGGTTGGAACCACCATCCACTCTGCACTGAGGGAAACCGGAGTCCGACACAAATCTGGGAGATTGCACAGATGCTAAACACTAATGTACATTCAGAGAACCCCAGAGAACCAGAGAAGTTTTTGCTCTAAGGATGGGTGTTTCTAGATTAACATTATCAATGCACAAGTACTAAATGTTTCAGAAGCAAAGACCTAAAAAAAACTTGATATCTTAAATATAAACTTATCATTTTTGATGATCCAGTGAAACAAATTGAAATAATGTTACTATGGCAAATCTATGATTTTTGATACATTTATAGGACTTACAAGAGCCAGACATTGACTGGGAGACTGCTGTAGACTGTGTGCTGTGGCCTTGACTCAGAAACTGGTATAATAGTGCCTGAATATGAGTGTCCTCTGGTTGAGGAGATGATGACTGAGCTACAAACTTTGGTTGATCCAACTGACCCAAACATTACTGATGAACAGCTATACATTGCCTGCTATGAACATATAAAACGGCTGCAGACACACTGTTAACCTCCTCAGCTCTGACACTCACGTCAGTGGACTCATCACTGCAAACTTTCAAACACATGCTGCTTGGTTCTGGTCTAATTGTTCTGTTTTGAACTCTAACACACACGCCAAGGAATTCATCCTATAAATGTTTTTCAGCTTATCTTTATTTGAGTATCAGTTTGGCCATGCTTTGAAACATTGTAAACACATCTTTTTGTTTTCTTTATTTTTTTGCACTATTATTCCAAAACATAAAAAGAAAAACCATGTAAAGATTATTCTGAATCCTTAAAAGAAAAGTGTGAGGAAAGCATCGGAAATACTATAAATACATTGAAACTACACTGTGTAACTCTAATAATAAGTACTACTAAAAACTACAAGGTTTGTTCATGAATGCATACAAATTGCACTTCATATTGTAATAAAAATTACAAACATTAAATTCAACATTTGTAGACTTCTGTAACAAACGTGACAAGTCTTTAGAACAGCCCTGAACAATGACACAGAAAGTGAGCTGGAGTATTCTCTTTCTAACAACGGCCAAATTCATAGCCGTGGACAATGGCCTGTGAGATCACATTTTTAAATTCTGCATATGTACCAAGGTGTGCAACTGGGAAAGTGACTGAGCGAGAACATGCATTAACTACAGGATAGCAGATGCTATGTGTACCATAACGCACATGGCATTCACCTGTGTACCCTTCTGACTCAGGGGGCACAATGCACAAATTTCTTTGTCCAGAACCACCTACAAGGAAAAATATTTAATATTTGTACTGAAAGTCAATCATATTTGCCATTACACAACAAACATAAGGCAGTAGATAAAGATAGTAAGCTTCAATCTTACCAACAGCCTTGTACAACATCCATGCTCCTTTCAACTCAGCCAATTTGGAATACGCCTCCTCAATTTTCTTGGACAACTGTGTATCATTAACATTTTTACAAGAAAAGAGTGTATGTATATTCCTAATATTTCTTTCTTTTTTAAAGCATTTTTTTTCAGTCAAGAGTGATATATACCTACTTCCTCCTACACCAACTCAACTCACCCATGAATGGTCAGCATCTTCTGCGATGCTGATGGTTCTGCGACCCATTCCTGCCTGCAGGAGGGTTAACTCTTCCGAGGTTTTGGGTGTCTTCTCCATATATTTATTTACAAGGTAAAACTGTATTGGGAAACACTTCACAGTACATAGCCTTCTTTTTAAAGGGGTCATATGATGCGATTTCAAGTTTTCCTTTCTCTTTGGAGTGTTATGACTTAACAAGCGGTAATGTGTTGAAAATGACCAATCACAGGAGCGGAGACATCTGACATTTGATCCCCGCCTCCAAAGTCTCAAAAGTCAACTTGACGAGCGAGCAGGGGTTGAGCAGTTGAGAGGGAGAGCTACTCAGCGCCGTTCTCGCGAGAGCGCATTTTTGCACGCGGATACTGTTCTTTTTTTTTTTTTATTAAGCATTATTCGAATACAAACACTTAAGGCATATTTTAACAATCATAAATCTGTTTTTTTTTCCTCGTGTTGAAAGCATTTAAAGAAAAACAAAACAATACAGAGAAAAAAATGTAATAAAAATAAAAAGGGGGTGAGTGTCTTAATCTAATAACTTGTATAAGTCCAAAGCAGAAAGAAGTTTCAAGGCATTTCTGTCCA